TTTAAGATAACATACTCCCACTGATGAGACAAGTAGCTTTGAAGCCCTTTTCCTCCCATGAATTCTTCATATACCCATCATGTGTTCATAGGGTCTGAAGCCATCAAAGTTAGTGATCATCACAAGATCTTATCATAGTGAATGCTATGGATTACCTATGTGCTGAACTTGCATTTATTTGTCCTGAATCTTCTCAATTGTCTTGATAGGCAGTGGTAGACATTTGAAGCATCCAATTTCCAAAAGAAGAAGGGAAAAGCACATTCAAAAGAAATATGGTGGTTAGGAAGTGGACATGCTTGACCCTTTCCCTCTTAAAAGAAGCCAAAGAGAAATGGTGTATGACAAAAGAATTAAGAACCTAACTCTGCCAATCATTATTTTCCAAAATGTACAGTGTACACAAAAAGGAAAACTAGGGTTGTTCCATGTTCTGCTTCAAAGTATGGTTGTAAAAAGTCACAGCAATTTTTCCATAAAAAAGGAATGACTCAACACACTGAAACACCAGCCAAAAAATAGTCAAGCACTGTGATACTTTTCACACTCCTTTTGGGAAAAAAAATATTTTGCAGCCAAAACAGTATTCCAGCACATAAAATATCATTTTTGTGCTAATTATTTGTTTTTACATGTGACAATTAAATAAGGGAGCATTTATTACTTTATGTTACAGTAAATAGTGTTCTGTTCAAATGTGTCCTCAATTTGACCTCAACTCTGGTTAAAATATAAAGAACACTGAAGCAGGAAGTGTAGAAGAGTCTGAAAATATCCATCAATACTTTGTATTTGGACAGCAGACTAAGGACTTAATCACATGGATCTTGAGAAGTGTTAGGGACCATCTGACTAGAAAAGGAAATTGTACTGGTAGATCCCCAATTGTCCAGTTTCAAGTTCTGTCTTCCCATCACACGTTTTTCTCTTCAGGTTTTAACCCGCTGTTGCCTGGGGAATTCCCCATCACATGGGGAATTCTTTTCTCTGACCTCTCCATATTACTTTTTTAAAACCAGGGAAAACTTCAGTATTCGAAAACCAAGAAATCCCTTGCCTTCCCCAAGGCCTGCACACCAGAGGAGACAAGACACCACTTTAAAAACTCTTCTTTCAATGGGGTCTCTTGCCCTCTCCAAGGCCCCTTAAAATTAAAAGTGGCAGGAAACTGTTTTAAAAACTCTTCCTTCAATGGGATCCCTTGCCCTCCCAAAGCCCACACACCAGAGGAGATGATGTCTCCTCCCATGTCACTGTTTTAAATCACTCCTTTCAATGGGATCTCCCCCTCTTCTCTTTGAATTCCTCCCCTAGGGTAGACCAGCAGAATTTTAACTCCACTTTTAATATTCCTTTCAATGAAATCTTCCCTCTACACTCCTTTCAATTTGGTGATCTCCCTCTAGAGGAGATCAGCACATTTTAAAAACACTATTTTTCAATAGAACCCACACTGTCTTTAAACCACTTTAAACAACAGAAGGATCACGGAGAGGCACTTCATAAAAAAAAGTGTAATGGAAAAATCCACCTCTCCATATGGAGTTTAGATTACTATTAAGGAAAATATTCAGTATTAGCAAAGTGGGGCAAAACATCAATTCCTCCATGGCCCTGAAATGATTCAACACAGGAAAATCTGTCAGATTCTATCACATGTGTTTTTTTGGCTTTAGAGGTGGTTCTGCCATGCCCCAGGGACTCAGAACATGATTACTTGTCCGTGTTCTGAACTCCCTCCTTTCAGCACGCTTCAGCTCCATTTCAAAGACAAAGGGCAACAGATGATGGCTGGAAGGAGGCAAGTTATCTATTATGCACATATATCTATCTATATTGCAATGTAATGAAAATGGTTTCAATAGAAATTGACAATTCAAGAACTATTTTTAGTCTTGCTTAAACCATTTTCATTACATCGGAAGGAGGCAAGTGTCATGTGGTGTGCATCTTTGTTCTTGAAATGAAGATGAAGTGTCCTATGATGGCGAAAGTGCTCCATGTGATGAAGTAATAAGAAGGCACATTTTCTAGCACTATTTCAAAATGATTTCATTTTTATTTAAATAACAACATTTATTTCTTAATTAGTGTCTACCTAGGTAAATTTGCACATGCAAATTACTGCCTCTTTCTTCACCTTCATTTATGTGATTTTTGTCAATGCCGAACTGTCTGCTTTAAAACAAATGGATTTTAACCCCATATGTCGATGGGGATATATCCCCAGACTTTGAGCCAATATGTGAAACTGTATGGATTTTCAGATAATAAGGAAGCCTATTGAAATGGTTGACTTCTGGTCCAAAAATAGCATAGAGTCACACTGGATGATCTAGAAAATGCTTGGAGAAAGGCTATATTTTGACACCAAAGGTACCAATCCCGTAGATATGTTCTGTGTATATTTTCATCAGCATTTAAAAAGTAAACTTTTATTTCTTCCTTCAACTGTGAATGCTGAGACACTAAACCTCTCTGTTTTTTTGGCCCTCAACCTTAAATACATTGAAATTTTCATTCTTTTCTGTTCAATGGCTCACATTTTTTCTTGTATTGAGTCCTTGAATGAAAGCCTATCCTGCCTCATTTTTTTCCTCATGTTTCTTTCACGCTTGCCTCATTTTCATGCCTTTTATCATTCTACCTGTTCTTCTGGTTACACAATATTCTTTTCAGCCCCCTTTTATTTTGTAGCTAGCAAAATATGTTTTCACTTTAGGAGAGGGATGGAAGATATTAGAATGCAACTCCAACATCTGAGTCTTCGAACTTGCAACATTCTCTGTTCTAAAGCATTAGTGACTATTACTTTTTATTACCCCTCTTTCATGTCTTCTCTGTAATTTCCCTGTCTTCTCTGTATTATTTTCTACAAGATTTTGTGATTTAGTCAAGTGAATACTTGCAATCAGCCAGTAAGTTTCTTTTTCTGCAGCCTTCCCCATTCTGGCATCTCTTTTAATTTAATATTAGTTCTTCTTGTGTATAAGTTCCTTCAAGTCGCCTAATGATTTATGGCAACCCCATCAATTTCACTGGGTTTTCTTGGGCGAGAGATACTGAGAAGTGGTTTTGACAATTTCTTCATCTGAAATATTGCCTACAGCAACTGGAATTCAATGGCACTCTCCCATCCAATCCTGCTTAGCTTCCAAGATCTGACGGGATTTGTTGCTTATAAAACTTGTTCTGTTTTCATAATCTACATGATGTAAAGTAAATAATGACTGCCAATCCAACAACAAACTGCATGACATTTTAATACTAAACAAACCAACCTTTCACCACCTTACAGAAATTGAACTGTTTGTTAATACAATATTGTTGACATGTTCATTCCTATAGCAGTTAGAATGTCTGAAATCATTCCATGATAGTACAACAGTACAACAGTTCTATTAATGGATATCAGAGCCTTCAACTTACAAAATTCCTTATTACAATATAGATACTTGACAGGAGAGAGCCAAGAACGGTACATAAAGTACCAATTTAGAAGGAACAGTTGCCTTGGGTTTCCAAGAGGAGCAGAAAAATATAACTACCCATATTTTCTGGCGTATAAGACCATTTTTTAACCCAAGAAAATCTTCGCAAAAGTCAGGGGTCTTATATGCATGAGCCATCTTATACGCAGGAGTAGCCTTATACGTGGGAGTCATCTTATATGCGGGAATAGTCTTATACGCCAGGAGTTGTCCTATAGAGTGGTTGCTGAAACTTCCAATCTGGATTGGAGAATCTGTGGTTGCTGCATATGGTGGGGAGAGCTCAGAAATGGCAGTGGCCGCATCCCTGCCATATGCAGCAACTGTATGAAAGCATTAAGGGCGATGCTGTACAAGTACGGTCGAAGAAAATCCATTCATCAGGATTCGTGGACTTAATGAGGTCCTGATGTTGAAGTGAAGGGGTACCTCACCAGGAAGGCGTAAGTGAAGGGCGGAGCAAGCTGCAAGCCTCCGGGGCACACGGGGTATGGGAAAAAAAGATAGAGTGGCTCTGAGCCCAGAAAAACACACCTCTTTTACCTGTCTGGCCCGCCCTTGTATCCTATTAACATACTTTCTCCTCTGCCTCTCAGATCTCACTCCTGAAGACTGCAGTGAAGCAGTGCAGGTGCTCATGTGCAGGATCTGAGAGGCAGAGAAGGAGGTACAGTAATATGAAAATTCCCATATTGAAATCAAATCTGATGCTTTTTAAATTTTTATTTGGTGTGCGTTGGAAGAGGGGTAGTCTTATACGGTGAGTATATACCAAACTCTATATTTTAAATGGAAAAGTTGGGGGTCGTCTTATACGCCCAGTCATCTTATATGCCGGAAAATATTGTACCTTTCACTGACATACCAGCACCAGTGGATTGAAGTGAAAGTCACATATCTACATTAATTCCCAAGCCCTACTAAAGGTTAGAGTAAGTACTGGAAAAAATAGAAACCTGTGGGACTAAAGGCTTGGATGCACTATCAAATTTGAGAGTCCTGATTATGTTAGAACTAGTGATCATTGCACCATTCTGGCAATGAAACCATCCAATAAAGTATTTATTTAGTATAAGCAAATAAATGAAAAGAGATTAATAAACAAGTATATATTTGTCTTAGTTCTAAACCCAGCAGAACAAACATTGCATAAGCTTTGTCATTTTGCACAAAGCACCAAAGTAACAATACACAAACACATCTTTGTTAAAACAACATTTTTATATAGGCTGAGAAAAGACATTATTTTGGAAACAGAAATCTTTTTCTGGACCTGTCAAGAAGTTGCAAAACCTGAGCTCAGACAGGAAGCATGTTGTTTATATAGCTGATAGATTAAAACTTTTCACCTGATCTAGTTAGAACTCTTCTATAAATCCAACACCTTTAGGAATCCCAGCCAGATATTATTTCATACATTGAAACAGTTCATCTGTTATTTGTCAAATACACATTAAATCTGAAAGTTTGTACCTAGAACCACACATTTATTTCTACTTGGAAACTTACCTTGACATGCAAACTTCAGCTCCTTCGCATCTGTAACTGTGGTTCTTTTATCAGACCTGTTTTTTTCGTACCTACGATGGCTTCGCCTTTTCTTGGTCTCACCCCAAAGGTTTGATCCACCATGCATACTTGGAATGTTCAAAATGGCAATCCCTTCCAGAGAAATGTTGCTCACATCTATCTGGATTCCATCACACTTGACAACAAAAGGAATGAAAGGAAGGAAGGAAGGAAGTTAAGGACTGAAAAGATGACAGAATTAACCTCCCATTTTGGTTATAGTGCTATATATATTTATTCTCTTTCGCTCTGTTACTTTTCTTTCTTATATCCCCTTTAAAAGGCCAATCCTGTACTGAACCATGTAATCTTGGCATATCCATAGCTCACTGTTTTCTAACCCAACTCCAAATAGCTTAGTAAAATACTTTTCCTTATTCTGGTCTTTTCTCTACCTTGGATAGTAAATAATCTGGTATATGGTTATTTCTAAATACCTCATCAGATGGTCTTTGGGTGCTGCTTCCATACGCTTAGGAAATGGAGCTCCACGGTAGCCCCATAGAGGCCATCACATGACAAGAGCACTTCCAGTGGGACTCCATGGGGCTCCATTTCCTAGCTGCATGGAAACGGAGCCTGAAGATAATCTTCAGGAATCAGGTGTTACCCGACACCAAGTAGCAGAATGCGTGAGAAAGCAGAGGAAAGACAGTGATGGCTGACACCACAGAAGATGCAGAAATGTGGGAGGAAATGAGTTAAGACACTTTCTTTTGCTTTCCCATCTGATGAGATCCTAAGTTGGGAAGTCAGACATGGGCATGGTGGTCCATGCTCTCGTTACATCCAGGATAGACTACTGCAATGCGCTCTACGTGGGGTTGCCTTTGAAGACTGTTTGGAAGCTTCAAATAGTCCAATGAGAGACAGTCAGGTTAATAACTGGGGCAGCATACAGGGAGCACACAACTCCCATGTTATGTCAGCCCCACTTGCTGCCTGTTTGTTACCGGGCTTTGGCCTATAAAGCCCTAAATGGTCCTAGTCCAGTTTGCTTGTCTGAATGCATCTCTCTTTATGAACCACCATTAAGACTAACATCTTCTGGGGAGGCACTGCTCTCGGTCCTGCCACCATCACAGGCACGTTTGGCGGGGATGAGAGATAGGGCCTTCTCAATGATTGCCCCCCAGCTATGGAACTCCGTTCCTGGCAATATTAGATCAGCTTTCTTCCTCCTGTCCTTCAGAAACACCTGGCTGTGGGACCATGCCTGTGGGGCAGTGAAATGAGAGGCAATAATAGAATGGTGTCCTAAGATTGTTTTAAAACAAATAATTTTCAAGTGGATATAAGTGATTTTACTGTTTGTGCATATTTATGGTTTTACATCCTGGCACTGAACGTTTGTGTATATATGTTGTGCTCCACCCTGAGTCCCCTGCAGGGTGAGAATGTTGGAATATAAATGTTTCAATTAAATTAAATAAATAAATAGGTTGTATGAGCTGGATGCTTCCTACTTTCTACCCATGTTGATATTGTTGTGTCCCTTCAACTCATTTCCGACTTATAGTGAACCCAAGAATGCCTATGGCTTGGAAGGAAAGCAATCAAAACAGGAAGCTTCTATTCTGCATGTCTTTTTCTAAGTATCATAGTCTAGAGTTGCATATAATATTTTTGGTCAGGAGCCTTAAAATGTTGTTGTCCTTTTCTACATACCAAGGAACTGTGATGATAAGAAAATGGGCATATTTTGCAGCAAGCATCTTTTAATGAGCAGTTTGAACTCACTTTGGCCTCAATACCTTAAAGACCCGAGATGTTTTATTTTGGAAGATAAGCAGGGTCAGCCATGGTTAGTACTTGGATGGGAGGCCACTAAGGACCACCAGGTCCTTTAAGATGTATTGCATGGGAAAGAATTGGGGGGAAGACACTTCTAAATATTTCCTTGCCGGAAAAAAAAAAACTATGAAATTCATAGGAGCATCATAAGCTGACAGGTGACTTGAAGGAACCTAGACTCTCACACAGAACTGATTATACTTTACTAGTAACATCAAACTTTCATATTTTTTAACATCTGATATATGTGTTAAACATTAATGTGACTTCTTTTTACTAAATATTCTGCTCATGTGTATACTCACTTACTACTATACATTCTTGATAAACAGATATTAATTTCATAATTAAAAGTAATCTTGTGTAAATACCCTGCAGGCCTCAATGAATCAAACACATACTGTGTGTCAGGCCTCCCACTGTCTTCAAGTGGAATGTACTGGCTGGATAATTAGATAGTACATATTTTTTAACCTTATTTGCATGCATATTATATCTTTTGCACACTGACAAGCAGCAGTAACAACAAAAGTCAGATTACCACAGGGAATTCCCACAAAGAAGTCTTCATTCCTTATAATTTGCAGCCTAAATTAAAATAATTTGATCTTTGACAAGGATGAAATGTCAAGCAGAAGGGGGTCCTCTACAAGCCACAGCCTGTGGCTTCTGAAATCTGCCTAATTTATGTCAGTCACTTCTTAATACATATTTAAGTATTACACGAAAAAGATGATAAATATGCAATCTGACACCTTTGGTATTTCCCTGCTGTTAATTTATAAAGGTCTTGCACCCCCCCGAAAGTGACTAAAATTATTTAAATAAAGGGAGAATTGTGATATAAGATGGTGCAGGGAGCGTTTTCACTCAATATCAAACACAGCAGGCAGTACACTAAGACAATTATTTCACTAGGCCCCAGAAACCTGCTGTGATGCGTTACTTTCAGAATTAGTAAAAGAGAAATTCTTTTGTTCAGGCAGCAAGGAATTTTCAACAGAAATCTATTTCCACTGTGCTGCCATATCTATGTTAAGAATGGTGGCCCAATTTCATTGTTAGTGCATTGCAGAAAACTAACTTACATTTATGCACCTAGCCTTTCCATTCATCCTAATAGTGAAAAGAGGGTCAGATGTGAAAGAGTGATTTAGTTGTAGGGATAACAGACAAAGACATTTCCAACTGAAAGTTTATCTACACTGAAGAATTCATGCTGTTTGATACCCCCTTAACTGCTGTTGCTCAATGCTATGAAAAAATTGGAATTGTAGTTTTAAAATGGTCTTTAGCTTTCTCGGCCAAAGATTGCTGATCCCTCAACAAAAGTCCCATGATTTCATAGCATTGAGCCATGGCAATTACATTGGTGTCAACAGTATACATTTTTAGTATAGATATATCCCAAGTCATACTCATCTGAGTCTGGCTCAGAATGGATTACCCTTTTCCCATCCTATGAGTTTGCCAGTGATATCTAGTGGCTTTCATATTAATGGAGCAGTACCATTTTTGTATGAACTTTAGAGTAGCTGTCCATGGTGTTGATCAAATGTAGAGAATGCAATTCAGCACATTTACTAGCTCATTGAGTTTGTCCTAAAAACAGGAGTAGAATCAGCTTCCAAGTCTCCTCCCCAGAGTTTCATAGGCATCCTTAAAATTGCAACAGCTAACAAACAGTAACTTCAGGGTTTCAAACCATATCATCCTACACTGATTTCCCCTAATATGATTCCATACTTTATTGTGCATCAAGTGGTTGCTCTAAAAGTACTCTCAGTAATGTAATACAACATGTTTGTAATATATCTTTGAAAGAAGTGTGCATTTATTGGGCATATCATGAGACAGCATGGCTCACCAGAAACAAAAATAATGCTCAGTAAAATGGAAGGTAGTAGGAAAAAGAGGAAGACCATATTATAGTCAGGGAAACCACAGCCCTGAGTTTGCAAGATCTCAGCAGAACAGCTGATGACTGAAGGCTTCTGGAGATTTCTCACTGATAGGGTTGTTATAAGTACAAGTCAAATTAATTTAGTTTAACATAATTTAGTTTAATAAACTTTTTACCATCACCAGGAGGTTAAAGTGAGAGCAGAAAGGAAAAAAAAACTTGCTTTGAACTTTGGATATCCCAGTTAGTGCTCATAGCTTGGGGGTTTATTTATTAGATACATTTATACACCACTTTTCATCTAATAAATGCGAAGTGTCATAAATGGCTCTTTTACTTCCTACATGGTGCTCACAAAAGGTCAAGATCAGAGAGAAGGTGATCAGCTCAAGTTCATTCAGTGAATTTCTTGGCTTGGTATGGATTAGAATGTGCACCAACTGCACCAACTCTTGTATCATTGCCTCTATGCCTAGAGGAATCCAAGGCAGGTGTGTTGTGTTAAAATTCATAATCCAGAACAGTCATCTCACAGTAAATACTCCTCTTTACATGGCTACATCTTTTCTACCCAGCTGCTGTATTGAGGAATTTCTTTACCTCTCATTTCATCGATCAAATTTGGAGGGTTGATATCTATTGCAGATGCACCTTATTGCAATAGGTTCAGGAAAACAGATACAAACATACAAAGGAAAGTGGAGCTAAGTTCTGCATGGCTGCGATTAAAATCCGGTGGACAATAATTGAGAGTCAAAAGACCTAAGCTTCACCTCTGGAATATAGATGGGAAATCAGATATAGATTGATATTTATAGTGTTGGATATCCCCCCCCCCCCCCCCCCCGGTGCCATCCCCACTACCTCCCTTTACACTGCCTTCACATGATCTTGTGGGCTGAGCTGGGTTTTAATAACTACTTGTATGTGGCTTTTAGCCTAGATTTTAAAATTTGTTGAAGTTTGAAGCATTTAACCCCTTTGGTTTGATGTAGATGTGTGGGACTGGGTCCCCCTGTTATGATCTGGTCATCGACCATAATAAAGTTTACTTATGAAAAAAAACACAGGAGAGATTAAGACTCTGCAACCAAAATGAGCTACAAAGTATTCAGGAGTTATTGCTTGATTCATGTCTTTTCTAGTGTCAAATATCAATGTGGCCATTGGGATATCTTGTAGTGATTTGTGTAGTATAGAGTAAGCATAACAAGAACGTATGTGTTAATCATTCTGTGTATATCAATACTTTAACTTACTGATAAAAGGAAAGTGGAGCCATTCTACCAGTACTGTTAAAGGACTACACCTCCCACTCCCAAATGTCACCAGTTGCAGCTATTTCTAACAGGCTGAAGCAGAATAAGATGAGGTGGGAAGTAGCCATCAGCATTTCTTTCCTTCGCTTTCTGCCCATGTTGATATTGCGGTGTGCCTTCAAGTTATTTCCAATTTATGAAACTTTTAAGTTTCATAAACTGAGTCTATAGTGGGATTTTCTTGGCCAAATTTATTCAGATGATTTCCCTTAGCTTTCCTATGAGATAGAGAGTGTGTGACTTGCGCAAGGTCACTCAGTGGGTTTCCATGGATGATCCGAAATTGGAACCCTGGCATCCAGAGTCATTCAAATCACTACACCATACTAGTTCATGTTCTGTTCATCCCTTAGTTCTTTTTAAATCTATTATATGCAAACTCATTGGATACCCTTTTGTCTCAGAAATTGGATTAAAATATTTTAAATAAATATATAACAAATTTTGTTGTGTATATAAACACAAAGATGACCCCACTAGATTGTAATGTATGTGACTATAATTTTAAATAGATATTTTGCTGTTAAATATTTAATAGTGCTCCATCTCTGAAAAAAAAACCCACCTGATATAAGCCTTTTCACAGGTCAATTAATAAGATTCCAGGAATCCTTTGGCTCCTCTGTCAGGTTCTTTTCTACCTTCCTTAAATGCATAATGGCAAACTAGTCCACTGTACAAAAGTCATTTAATGAATGATTTTCCAAAAAATGCATTTTGTAACCTTTAGTTCAGGAAGGTAATAGTTTTTTAAGGAACTGTGCTTTAAAGGTTAGAAAACTCAGAATTTTGAAATAGATTTTTCAAATTCATACCTCTGATCATTTGTTTCCATTTTGATCCCCCTTTATAAACTTTATAAACCCCCTTTATAAACGTTGGTAACTTCCCTGTTGGCTTCTTTAAGGGGTGCAAATGTTTCTTTTCTTTCTTTCTCTTTTTTTTGGGGGCGGGGGATGTTTTAGCATGCATTTTGTTATTTCACTGTGATAGCTGTATTAGATTTTGCACTTACTACCTACTTTGTGGCTTCAGAAATGAGTAGACCAGCATGGTACAAGTAAAATATAAATAAGGACCTCATCATACTAGAGAATTAATCAACTTTAAATCTGGTTTCTGCCTCCTGCAGGATTCTGGAATTTGTAGTTTGGGAAGGAGCCTTTAACAGTCTCACTAAACTAAAAACCCCAGAATTCTGCAGGGGGGAGAAACCAGATTTAAGGTGTATTCATTCTCTAATGTGATGAGAAGCTAGCTAATTTCTTGCCAACTTTTTTTTACTAATCACTATGATGACAAATGTGCAAGGTTACAAGAAAAGCATACAATAATAATTACATTTGGAGGATTATAATTTATAAGTAAAAGTGTTTAGGTAATACCTGAGTCCCTTGAACTTGGCATCCTTCCCACACATTTACAAGATCTTCCCTAAAGTAACATTTAAAGATACTTCTCATATCTTTAGCTTAATACATAGCCTTCTTTTTGGTAGAATAATTTAAAATAAGTTTCTTACTTCTATCTCTATAGATTCATGCAGCTTCTTGCAGGTTGCTGAGAAAGTTTCAGAAGTGCCAAATTCAAAGTACCAAAATTTATTCTTCATTCTGAAACATGGACAAAAAAGAAAGGTAACATCAATATCTGAACATTTTTTTAATAAAAAAGTTAGCATCCTGACTTCCATCATAAAGGATGATAACATCTGACATCCAGTTTGAAATAGATGATCTCATAATTTTCAAAAAATTAAATGTGGCTGTCAAGAGATATAATATCCCTTACAGCTATAACAGGAAAGTCCTGTAGCAGAGATGGATTACAGGTAACTGTTAGGGTTTTTTGGCAATTGCCACTTAAACAGAGACATGTCTTGAAAACTTACTATGTGCCATATTATGTATTAGACTTTGTAATTTGAATTCAGATATTGTCCAAAGATTTCTTCCATCATAACAAAGCAAGGTGGGGGGAAAGTGGGGGAAACAAAGCTTTCTCCAAGCTAATATCTCATGTTTTTTTATGACAGGTATTAACAGAGAAAATAGAAACATTCCATTTATTTTGTATTCTTCAAATAACTGGCTTTAAGGCAGCTCTGTGGAAAGGAAATTGGAATTCACTAACAACTATAAAGAAAAGGAGTACAAAAGTGAAAATTTTTAAAAGAGAAAAACTGATTCTATTGTCTCTTAATAATGGAAAATACATTGAATATCTTTAAAATGAGTTGTTTGGACAGAAATGCCTTACTAGGCCATACTACAGGTTGATTATCTCTTATCTGAAATGCTTAGAATCAGAAGTGTTTTCTTGTTCAGATTCTTTTGAATTTTGAAAAATTTGCAAAAACATGAGGGAGCTTGAAGATTAAACCCAATTCTAAAAACAAAAATTGTTTTATTTCCTTTACACCTCATATCCCTAGACCAAAGGTAATTTTATAAACAACTAGCTGTACCCGCCACGCGTTGCTGTGGCCAACCTTCCCCCTATCTCCCCTTCTTTCCCTCCTTCCTTCACTCCCTGTTTCCTTCCTTCCTTCTCCTGTCTTTCCTTCTCTCCTTCCTTCCTTCTCTATCGCTTTCCTTCCTTCCCCCTTTTTCTTTTCTCTTCTGCTGTCTCTCTTTTCTTCCTTCTCTCTTCTCCTTCTTTCCTCCTTCTTTCTCTACATCTTCCCCCTTCCTCTTCCTTCACTTCTTCTTTCCCTTTTTTCTTTCCTTCTCTCCTTCCTTCCTTTTCTAACTTTCCTTCCTCCCCCTTTTTCTTTCCTCCCTCTTTCTCTCCTTTCTTCCTTTTCTACCTCATTCCTTCCTTCTTGCTTTCCCTCCCTCTTTCTCTCCTTTCTTCCTTTTCTACCTCATTCCTTCCCTCCCTCTTTCTCTCCTGTCAGGGGTGATTTGAATGCAATAGTCCTGCTTCTTGGCAGAATGGGGTTGGACTGGATGGCCCATGAGGTCTCTTCCAACTCTTTGATTCTATGATTCTATGATTCTTCCTTGACAGATTAGAAGGGGGCGTGGCTTGGAGGTAACGTGAGGAGGGTAGAGGGAGGAGGGGAGGGGGGATGGGTTTAGAAGGGGGCGTGGCTTGGAGGTAACATGAGGAGGGGGGGGGATGGGTTTAGAAGGGGGCGTGGCTTGGAGGTAACGTGAGGAGGGAGGAGGGGAGGGGGGATGGGTTTAGAAGGGGGCGTGACTTGGAGGTAACGTGAGGAGGGTAAGAGGGAGGAGGGGAGGGGGGATGGGGGCGCGCGCGCGCGTGTGTGCCGCGCGGGGGGGAGAGGGGGCGCACACGCGCGCGTGTGTGCCGCGCCAGGGGGGAGGGGGCGCGCGCGCGCGTGCGTGTGCGGCACTGGGGGGGGGGGGGGCGCGCGCTGAGTGTGTGTGTGGCGCCGGGGGGGGGAGGGGGCGCGTGCGCGCGTGTGTGTGCGTGTGTGTGTGTGCGGCGGCTGGGGGAGTGATGGGGGCGCGCGCGCGCGTGGGTGTGCATGTGTGTGTGTGCCGCGCCGGGGGGTGGGAGGGGGCGCGTGCGTGCGCACGTGTGTGTGCATGTGTGTGTGCCGCGCCGGAGGGGGGAGAGGGGGCGCGTGCGCGCGCGTGTGTGCCGCGCCGGGGGGGGGTGGGGGTGTGCGCGTGTGTGCCGCGCGCGGGGGGAGAGGGGGCGGAGGGTGTGTGTGTGTGTGTGTGCCGCGCCGGGGGGGTGAGGGGCCATGTGTGCGCGCGCGCCGGGGAGTTTGCGCCAGTGCGCATGCTCAGTTGTTTTGCCGTTTTTTGTGGTTGTTGTTGTGTGGTTTTGATTTCTGAGTGGATTAGTTTGTACCTAGTGGGTTGTCCTTGGGGCATGGCAATTTTGGTAGAGTTGTGTGGAGGGGTTTTAGAGTTTTGTTTCCTCGTTGGACGCCAGTAGGAAATTTATATATATAGATATTTTGATAATTTTAGGCATGAATCAAAGTTTGTGTATCTTGAACCACCGGAAAGCAGAGGAGCCACTATTTTAGCCACCCATGTGGACAATTTTGGATTTGGAGCATTTTGGATTTCCGGATAAGGGATATTTAAACTGTAATGTATGTTTTATGGACTACCAATTCTTCTGTAAGACAGCACTACATCAAACGATGTGTTCAGTTGGTTGTCGATCTGCCCCATTTTCTCTTTAATGTAAAAATTCAACATAGGGGGTTGGCAAGAAAGTTACTGAACAGACTCCTCTATTAATACTGATTCATGAGACCTTTTTCAAGCGTGCCTAACGGTGATGCATCACTACAGCCATGACCATGAAGCTAGTCATAACTGTAGTGATACAACACTACGGGCTGTGGTTGACACATTCAACACTCTTAAACATTTGATTTGCATTTAGTCTATATTTTCTGTAAAAGAATTCAGAAAATAAAGCTGGCTAGAAAAGTATTGGGATAGAGAGAAGTACCTGAATATCTTAGGGCTTTGATAGGGCTTTATTGGTCACAACCAACACTCTGAACTGTGCCTGGAAACAAACTAGGAGCCATGGAGCTGTTACAATATGGGGGTTGTGTGCTGCCTACATCCAGCCTATAACCCAGGCATGGGTAAACCCAGCCCTGTGGGCCAGATGGACTCCTTTGGGCTCTTCGCTCCAGCCCCCATCTGCTTTGGCCTCCCCTTCAGTATGCGGATGCAGAGGCCCTCATGCTGAGAGGAGGGTCAAGGTAGACACATGCTTCTGCCAAGCACTCTCTAGAGAGCATTCGGCAGCAATGTACTTCTCTCCCTTCTCTAGGCCCGAGGAAGGTAGGCTGCTGTCTTCCTGGGGCCCGGAGAAGAGCTGGGGTGAGAAACACACTGCTGCCAAGAGTGCTTGACAGTGGTGTTCCTCTCCCTTCTCTGGGCACTGGGAATGTGGGCTGCTGCCTTCCTGGGACCCAGAAGAGCTGGTGAAAGAAACATGCCACTGCCTAGAGACAGACCCAGCCCTTCCCTGTCCTGGTCCCAGTCCCATCCTGGCCCTTCCAGCCCATGACCCCACCTCTTCTGGTCCCACCTACACTCCCTCCTGGCCCAGCCATTGCAGCCGGGCCCACAAGGTGGCCCCAGTGCAAAAAGGTTTGTGCATGCCTACTATAACCAGTTGACATTCTGGACATTTCCAAATATTCTTTACCTTAGATGCTCATCAGCAACCAAAGTGCTTTCAAGGTTCATCTTTGTCCTACAGAGACACCTGGATACATGCTTGTGCACCAAAGGAAAAGGGGCAGAGATTGTTCTTTCTTCCTTTGGTTCACAAAGGCCACCACAATAATCCTAGTGTACATGACCAGCTGATAGCTAAGCGGATGATGCCACACATACACATAACATACAACTGGAAATGGAGTGGAAAAGAAGGAGCACCTCAAACAACAGTGTCACTATGCTAGCAGAGATTTGTGTTTTCTGGATTTCAGCCAATGGAACCTATTTTGCATGGGTCACAAGCCTTGGAATGAGTTATAGAGTTGTCATTGTCTCTCTCATTCGAGGATGTATGCAATAAGCAACCATTGTTCTATCCTACTGATTTTTTAAAGAAATCTTTAGCTGATGTTGAAATGCATGATAGAAGAATAGAGTATTTGAAAACCTGAATATTTTAGTTACTGTCATTTAAATAAAATGATTCCAATTCTGTCATGACTACACTGACTTCTGAGTAGCCAGTACAAAATAATTGGGTGTGATGTTGTTTTCTGTATTTTTACTAAACAGAAGAAGGCACACATTTATATACATTATCTTGCGGATGCAGGTTAGGTTTTAAAATGTAGACATTTGTAAATAATAAAGTTACATTGAAAAGGCCAGTTCCAGTGGAATCACAGCACTGTAACAGTAAGGTATTTGACAAGGAGGATGAATGCAGTCCAAACTGTTCTGGAAGAGAGTGTGTTCCTCTTAAAGCAGATTTGGCAACATAGATTGTGCCAGAATGGTGGCCACAAATTACAGAATGCAGTCTTTGAAACAAGCAAGTAATGCTTGTTCTAAAGGGGTTTCTGGTTTTACTATCTATCTATCTATCTATCTATCTATCTATCTATCTATCTATCATCTATCTAATATTTTGCTTTACATCCAACATAAAGACTTAAGGCTGCTTAAAAATGAACTAAAACCATAGTAAAACACAACTAAGTAATAAAATAAAAAGGGCTAATTAAAACTTAAAACATAAAGAAACAAATTATCATATTAAAATTCCATCCAATCATTTCTACACAAAACAGTTGAGGTAAAAATAGAGCACACACACTTTTTGTAAGCAATTCATTGCTTAAATCACCTTTGAAGAAAAAGTATTTATGTGCTAGTGAAAGGATAGCACAGCTAGCACAGGGGGCAGCCTAGCCTTCTGTGGTAGGGGAACCCACAACCTGGAAGCAGCCACCAAAGAAGGGTCTCTTTTATCTTCAAATTGGATGGGATTATTATGGTGGTAGGACCAAGAGAGAGATCCCTGCAAGGAATCTGAAGAATTTGAGAGGTTCATATAGGACAATGGTTCTCAATCTGTTCGTCTCCAGATGTTTTGGCCTTCAACTCCCAGAAATCCTAACAGCTGGTAAACTGGTTGG